GGGCTCCTGCCCGCCCCCCCCCCCATCCTCCTGCCCGCCAGTCTATCCATCCACTTGTCCACCCATCCTCCTGCCCATCCATCTACCTACCTGCTCATCTGTCTGTCCACCCACCCACCTGCCATCCATCCACCTGTCTGCCTGGGCATCCCCCCACCAATGGACATTTGCCACATGCCCTCCCTGAGCCAGGCACTCTCAGGTGTGGGGATAAGACTGTGAATGAGACAAAGTCCTGGCCCCCATGGAACTGACAAGGGCTTAGAGACAACAAACTGGACTCAAGAGTAAAACAGAGTGTCAGGGAAGGGGGTGAGCAGGCGGGGACGGCACAGGTAGATTTTATGGCTGCTGGGAGAGGGAGGAGCTGCAATGAAACAGTGGCGGGGAGGACAGCCAACACAGACATAAACAACAGAGGGCAGGAGCTCAGACCCTGAGGGACACACACTTACAAGGAGAGAAATCAGGGCTGTGGCTGCAGTGCTGTGTTTCATGACAGTATGCTGGGGGCAGCCCTGTGGGCTGGGGCGGGGCAGGATTGGTCGGGTGAGGGCACGAGGGCCCTCTGTCTACGTGTGTGAGCTGAAGGCTCCACAAGAAAGACACAAGGCAACGGGTCCATCACGACGCGACCCTGACACACACAAACATGCCCAAATATCACATGCACCCGAAGGGGATAGATGGGCAGGTGGTCGGTGGGTGGACAGACAGTACCACATGCCCCCTCTCTCATGCACCAGCCAACATCTTGAAAGGACCCCACATCATATGCAAGGGGTGAGCTGGGCAGCATCTGGGCTCAGGCCTGTGTCCTGGCAGCCTGCAGGTGGCCGAGCCCGCCCTCGCCCTGTGCACTTTCTTCATCAGGGTGTGCAACCGGGCATGAAGCACCGTGTCGGTCCGCACCGTGTGGTTCTGTCCACCACCTGCCTGCCCGAGCCCAGGGGCCCCACTACACCAGGAGCTCCGTCCTAGGACAGCAGCAGGGCCTGGAGACAGGGCTAAGGGGGAGGGAGCAGAGTGGGCCCTGCCATCTTGGTGGAGTCATGGTGCCAGCAAAAGCCTGAGGCTCTGGGAACCCACAGGTCTCTCCCTCCTCCATGTGGGCTCCCTGGAGAGAATGAGGACATGCAGTGATGGACAGGCAGGGGTGCAGGTGGACCCTGAGGCTCTGCCGCCCTACTCAATGAGTGACATAGGCATGCAACATGCCCCAGCCCCAGCTCATCTATAAGGAGAGGCCGGCAGGGCGGGGTGAGGACTCAGAGGCCAGGCTTGAGACCACAAGGTGACCCACAGGGAGCGCTCACGGCTGAGCAGCTGCTGCCGCAGGGACCATTACTCTCTGGTTGTGGACACCTGTCACATGCACCTGCAATCTGCGTGTGTCCTGAGCCTGCTGCTATCCCCTCTTGCCTGCTGGCTGCAGCCCCTGGGCTCCTTGCTCCTGTCCTCCCTGTCCCAGTTCTGCTCAGAACCCTCCTGGGGCTCCTGCCTCACCTGCTTCCCTGACGCCATCTCTACCACACTCCTCCTCCCCAGTTCTGCTCTGGTGGTTCCCAGCACATCTGGGATGCATCGGCCTTGGGGTCTTTGCACCTGCTGCCCCTCTACCTAGGATGCTCTGCCCAGAGATGGCTCCTCCTCTTGGGTTTTCGCAAGCACCTTATTGCTCAGCACCTGACGGTGCTTACTGCTATCGTCTGTACTCCACATTACGCGAGCCCAGGAGGGCAGGGCTTGCAGCCTGGACAGTACCTGGCACACGGTGGGCACCCAGCAAGCACCTGCTGAACCAACCCGTGAAGGAAGAAGAGGGACAGCAGCTGCACCCAGCCCAGCGGTGCCCCTGTCCTGCGCGACACAGCTGTGGAGCCTGTGTTGGGGGGTGAGCCCACCTGGAGGGCGGGGACACGGACGCAGTTCACCAGGTACGGTTTGTTGGTCTCCAATAGGGACACAAAGGCAAGGAGCTGATGTCTGCTGCTCATCCTGTCCTTGTCACCTGATGGGTTGAAGAGGACAGCTCAGGCCACCATGGCCTTCCCGCTCTCCCACCTGCTTCCCCTCCCTGCACGTGGGGACACTCATGTATCTGCAACTTACTTGTCTTAAAAAAATATTTCAAAGGTGGAACTTTTCTTTGTTTTTATTTTATTTTAGAGTAGGAGTCTCACTCTGTCACCCAGGCTGGAGTGCAGTGGCACGCTCACGGCCACCACAGCCTCCACCTGCCGGGCTCAGGCGCTCTTTCTGCCTCAGCCTTCCAAGTAGCTGGAACCACAGGCGTGCACCACTATGCCCGGCTAATTTTTTGACTTATTGTAGAGACAAGGTCTCACCAAGTTCCCCAGGCTGGTCTCGAACCCCTGAGCTCAGGTAATTCTCTTGCCTCCGCCTCCCAAAGTGCTGGGATTACAGGCATGAGCCACTTAAACACTTTGCATAATAAACAGGAATCTGACTCTGAGGTAATATTTTAGGATCCCTGCTCATTTTGTCAGGAGTGATAACAGGATTTAGTGACACAAGAAACGGTCTTTCTCACTTTTATCACGGAAGGACTAAGAGCCCAGAACCTGCTTTTAGGTGCCCCAGTGAGAATCTGCTGCTGCCAGGTCATTAATACATTTTAAAAACGCTCCAGCAAGAAGGGACAGGGCTCCTGACCCGCCACTTCGGGACAGTCACGCTGGCTTGGGTCAGCCACCAGCAGCACGGGGAGGGTTGGGGCCAGCAGGGGCGCCCACCAGGGAACTGGCCGCTCGACCCTCCCCCCTACCCTAGCACAGGCAGGTGTGGGAAGGGGCCTGAGGCGCGGGGGCCCTGCCCCTCCCATCCCCGCAGGCTACCGCCTGGGCCCAGTGTACCTCGGTTCCCGTCGCAGCCCTCCACCTCCTGCTCCCGGGCATGCAGCACCTCAGGGCTGCCGGCGAAGACGCAGGTGGGGTGCAGCACGGCTCCCTGCTTGGCCCGGGTGTGGAAGATCTGCGGGCCATGGGGAGCACGTCCCTCCCATCTCTCCTCCCACTGCCCGGACGTCCCCTCCCCCTTGGGGCCAGATCCCCCTCCCTGTCTCCACTCAGAAGTCCCTGCCTCCAGGGAGTACTCCCAGAGCCCCTCCTGGCTGGGCCAGGCGCCCCCTGGGCTTCTTCTGTTCACTGGGCTCCCCCATTCCAGCCCTGTCCACTCCGCACTGCCTGTCTAGGGACATGTCTGTGAGCCCCATAAGGGCAGAGCAGGGTGCTTTCAGTCACCACCGTGTCCCCAGCCCAGGGCAGGCCCTTGGGGATGTGTGTCCGACGACACACAGACACGGATGGCAGTGGGAGCAGGGGTACCTGGTCCGAGTCCTTGCGGCCACTGTTGAACGCATCCGGGATGGCCAGCTGGGGGTAGAGGCCCCGGCCCAGCACCAGCTTGAGCAGGGCCATCTGCTCGCGGCTCAGGTCCTGGGCTGCACTGGCGGCTGCCTGTAGCTGCTCCAGGTTGTGCCGGAGCTTGAACTTCACGTCCTGTGGGAACAGGAGGCAGCTCCTGGGGGACCCTCCCCGCACCCGAGGCTTCCAGCTGCAACACACACCTGAGGGCCTCTGCAGACCGGAGGGTCCCAGAGGGCCGGGGCCTGTGCACAGAAACCTGGCTCCTGAGGTGAGGGTGGGCCTCGCCCTCTCAGGCCCGGGGCCAGTCAAGTCCCCTCAGGCCCCGGGACTGGCCGCACCCTTCAGGCCCCAGGGCTGCCCAGGGCCCAACTGGGAAACTCTGCCCCACCCCAGATCCAGTCGCGCCCAGGCCCCACCTGGATGTCCACACTGTCACCGGCCCTCAGGGCCCCTGCGCGGTCCTCATCGCTGGAGCAGCCATCCTGCTCTTCCCGCAGCCGCAGCACCTTGCGCCCGCGTCCGCCACCCTGCTCGTGCTGGCGCTTCAGCTGGTACAGTGCCCGGCGCTCACGGCGCTGCTGCAGCCGGCTGTGGCTGTCCCCTGGCCCTGCAGCCCGGGCCTCAGCCAGCAGCCCGTGGTCCTCCAGCAGCTCCTGGGGGTGGGTGGCGCGTGAGCCCACGGGCAGGCTGAGTGCCCTCTGGACTCCCTGGGAAGTAGGCTCCCTCCTGGGCCTCTTGCGGGCAAAGGGGCTCAAGGAGGACAGGCCTTGAGTGGCACTGGGTGCTGTTCCAGGGGAGACCATCTCAAGTTGGCCGGGGAATGCCCAGGTGGGGACAGAAGAAGGCGGGGGCGGGGAGGACTCAGCGCACCCTCCCACAGCTGTCACCAGGCTCTCCACACTGCCCTCAGGGGTCTCCAGCACTAGTGTTTCTGAGTGTGGCCACAGACCAGCAGCACCTTGGACAACTGGGAACCTGGGAGAAATGCAGAGCCCCAGTCTGCTAAGTCAGAACCTGGGGCTGGGCCGGGAGTCTGGACCTGACATCCCTCTAGAAGACTCTGACACGGATGACACTGAACACCCTGCCCCTGCTGTCCCCACCTCGGCTGGACCCCCTATCCTGCTAAGCCCAGGCGAGGGGGCGCGGAGCAATGTGCTCACGTGCACACTTGCGTGTGTACACAAAAGGGGTCCAGCGCCCGGGGCGTCAACGGAGGTGGAACATGGCTCTGGCAAGTGGAGACAGCAAGGCCAAAGCTGAGAGGGCCGGGACCTCAGTGGACACTGACCCGGGACCCAACAGTGGCACCAGAGGTCTCGGTCGGGCGTACCCACTCTGGGTTCCAAGTGCCTCCTGGGTCCCCCAGATCCTCCGGTGCTGCTTTCACCCAATGGAAGCCACCACACTGGGAAGCAGGGGCTGGGCTCCTGTCCTCAGACGGAGAGCCATCCACGGAGTGTCCGTGAGACAAGCCCCAGGACTGCCAGGTAAAGGAGGAGCCCAAGTCTTCTAGATTTAAGAGAAAACCAGCCCCTGGGCATGCCTCTGTGCTCGGAACTGCAAGTGCCGGTGTAGATCTGTGGGTAGGGCCCGTCCCAAGCACCCTGCACGCACTCCTGTGCTCAGTCCTCACAGGGAGCCAGGAGGCAGGTGCTATTTTTATGCTATTTTCTGAGGGGAAGCCGAGACCCAGACCCAAGCAGTGACATGCCCAAGGTCACATGTCGGCAAATGTGTTGGCCCCAACGGCCCTAAGCCGCCTCCCAGCACTGAGCCTGTGCCGCCCGTTCAGCACCCCAGTGCCAGGGGGCAAGGCCCTTCACAAGGACGTGGCATGTCACCACTGACTCAGCAGCCCTCTCCAGGAAGCCCTCCTGAATTTCCATTCCCTGCCCAGGGTGTCTCCAGGCCCGGTCCTGCGTGGGTAGGGGAGATGGGTGCGGGCTGGGACTGCCTGTGGCGGCCAGGAAGAAGAGAGGGAGCGTCTGGAGCACATACTCACTGCCACCTGCCGGACCCACCTTGAATTGGCGCCGCAGGTTGGCCATTTCGTACAGCCGGTGCTCCTCTATGCCCCGGCGACGGCACCACTTGCGCGAGTCTCTGCTCCGTTCGGACTTCACCTGGGTGGAGGTGCACACGCCACGGTGTCAGGGCCAAGCCAGCTCAGGGAGCGGCGACTAACCCACCGCTCAACCCCTGGGGGGCCTTGAGGCAGGCGGGGGACCTGCGGGCCCTCCCTTCTTCTTCCAGGCTCAGCCCCAAAGCCCTCTCGGACCCCCACACTGGGTCAGGCACCCCCTCTGGGGTCTCCCCGCCACTGGGACGCCCCCATTCCAGCCCTGTCTGAGTTGTCACTGTCATATCAGTGCTCTGTCTCCCTGAGCTCCAAGAGGGCAGGGCCAGGTTACTTTTGGTCACCAACAGATCCCCACAGTGCCCAGTACAGAGCCAGGCCCAGAGCAGGGGCTGGACAGATACACAGACTTCCTCCGCCAAGTGCTGGTTTTCACCAGCACTCTGGAAACCCCAGGCTCCTCTCCCTGGGCCTGGGTGGTGCCACCCCTCATCTCAGGCAGGCCAGCTCAGCAGTCCCCAGCGTGGGCACGAGGAGGAATCTCGGCAGCAGGAGGCCTGGCCCCAAGCAGAGCCCCGGTCAGGGTCCCGCCGGCCTCACCTGCACCCAGGCGTTGAAGACGTTGAAGAGCGTGAAGGGATCACCCTGGTCGCTCTCCAGGGGCCGCCGCGCTGTGGCACAGTCCGGGCTGCTCTGTGCACTGCGGGTGAAGGGTGACTGGACACTGAGGGCAGCCGCGATGGTGAGCACGGGCTCCGCCAGGCGGAACATGGAGCCCAGGATCAGCATCTTCCCTGCGGTGGACAGGGGCTGAGCCTCCTGGGTGCTGGGCGGCCAAACCCCCGCCCCTTGGGACCCTGGCCTGCCCTTCCGCCCCACTGTTCCCACCTCCTCCCTCTCACCCATAAAGGCCTCAGGACCCAGCCAGGCAGATTTAAACTGACACGCTGTGCTTCCTCATCAGGTGGCCTTGGGCAAGGGCCTCAGTTTCCCCATCCGTAGGCCAGAGACGACGGCAGTGCCTGTCTCCTCCCGCTGGGTTCTGGCTACAGCTGTCCTCCCTCCCCAGTGCTCCTGGCCTCTCCCTGGGTCACTTATTTCGCCTGCCCTGGCGTGTGTCCCCACAAGCGGGACCTGCACTGAGCTGCAATTTGTCTGCCCTGGCGCACGGCAGGTGCTGACTTCTGTCATGGATGAGGCCTCCTGCCATCTTTAACTCAGGGATGGGGGGGCAAAGGGGAGATGGAGGAAGGGAATGGAGGAGGGTGAGGGGAGGACACAGAGAAGAAAAGCGGAAGGAACCAGAGTTTGACATGGCCAAGGGGCTGGTGAGAAGTCACCTCCATCTGCAGCTGGGAACCCGAGCAGATACTGGCCTTCTGGGATGCTGAGGCCCTGCCCATCTGCACTGTGGCCAATGGCCCATGTGTCCAACTCGCCCTCAGTTCCCCTTGACTGGCTTTACACAAAGTGCCTGTCACACAGTTGACCCCATACACAAAGGTGGCAGTAAGGCAGTGCTGGGACTAGACCGTGCTCCCGGGTTGTGTTCAGGGCTCCCAGCCCTCCACACAAGGCACCTCCACCTTGCTGGGCCTCAGCTTCCCCATCTGTGAAATGGGGTCAGACAGCATCTGCCTGTCCCGTCAGGACCACCACGAGGATGACCCGCATCTCCCCTGAAGCACCTGGAACTCCACCCAGCACAGGAGAGGCCCAGCACGAGGCCGTCTGTACCTCCCACCCACCAGCCTCACCACTGTGCGACTCGAAGTGCCGTCAGGGCACATAAGAGGCTGGTACTCCCACTCCAGGGGCCAAGTGCTGACATGAGTGGCTACCGGCAGAGCAGAGCCAGGCTGACTGGGCCTGCTCCGTGCCCTCAGGCACACGCCGCCTCCCCTACCCAGCCTCCATTTCCTCATCTGTACATCAGGGGTGACCAGAGGCCCCACCCTCAGCAGGTGAGAAAGAAACGATAGTCCACAGAGCCTTCTGCTGGCAACGCAAGTGTCCCTCGGCTCTGATCATCCTTGCTCTAGCCCTGCCTCCTTCTAGAACAAACAAAAACAGCCATCTTCTGAGCTCCAGAGGCCCTCAGAGTGCGTCATGACCAGCTTTCTGGCCACACGGAAGCCTGAAGTACCACAGTGGGGGGACTTCAAACGTGTTAACCCAGACGGAAGGTTCTGTGGCGCATGCTTGAGACCCGGCGTGGGGTCCTGCTGTGGTGGGAGGCATGACGGTGCTGGTGGAAGTAGGGGGTCTTACATGTCAGGAGACACAGACTGGATACACACACCTAGATTGGCGAGGTCCTGGGGTGTGAGGGTGACTCAGGGACAAGGGAGAAGCTCTGACATCCCCAAGCCCACAAGAAAGAAGCCGGGACAGGGCCAGGGATGCACCGTGCATAGGAATGGTAGAAAGCCCAAGGCACCTGTGTCTGGAGGTCTCAGGCATCCCCTTGTCTGTCTCTACCAAGGGAGGCACCATCCACAAAGCGCTGGGGAATCCAAGCAGGAGAGCAGGTCTTTTCTGTCACTCATGCCCATTAGGGCACCTGTGTCACATTCTCTGAAACAGCATTGCCAGTAGGACCCCACAGGCCATGCCCAGCCTCTGGGGGTGGTATCTGCAGTTCAGTAAGTGCCCCAAGACACTACTGGAGTCACAGATCAGCAAGAACAGGGTCAGATCAGAGGGTCTCCTGGCCCTGAGGCCCTCTGAATTCGCCTCTGTTCCTGATGACACACACCGTGGAGACAAGGGCACCACATCTGTGTGGCTGGCCATTGGAGGCCTGAGCTCGGGAGAGCCTAGAACTGAACACGGTCTCCACGGGCTCATGTCCTGGCTTTTTCAGGACCCCACCAAGCCATTGGGAGTTTCTCAGTTTTCTGGCCACCTTTCACGTGAAACCCAGTTCCACTTCAACGCAGCAGTCTCCCATGCATTTCAAAGCTCCTCACGTGACCCAGGGCCAGCGGCATCGGCTGCCCCACCCTCCTTGAGGCTTCCGCCCAGATATCACAGTCTCAGGGAGGCCTCCTGGACACCCATAACCCTGCTCCCTGCCCTGCTCCCAGCCCCTCCCCTCCCGCACAGCCCAGTTGACACACCTCTCATTTGTCTTGCCTGTCTCCCCTGTCACATGTGTGCCCCGAGAGAGCAAGAGCTGCTTGCCCCACTATTGTGTCTCTGCCATCTAGAATAGGACCTGGCGCAGAGCAGGTGCTCAAAAAATAATGAATGAATGAGCAATGGAACTGTTGGTTAACATCCCCCAGCCCCTCACTTTATTCTAGGCACACCGGCCTCCCCACTATTCCCTAGACACACCAGGCACATTCCCAACACAGGGCCTTTGCATGGGCTGCTTTCTCTGCCTGAACGCCCTTCTGCTACATCCACGCCATCCAACGTGGCCGCCCTGACCCCACACAGCCACTGAGCACTCAAAATGTGGCCAGTCCACACTGAGATGTGCTGTGAGCGTAAAACACACACTGGATTTCCAAGACACAGTATGGCAAAATAACAAAATACGGCAAATGTGTTTACATCAATTACACATTGAAGTATGTTTTAAATATATGAATATTCGGTTAAATAAGATGTTTTGTCAAAATTAACTTCACCTGTTTCTTACTGCTTCTCACTATGGTCACCAGGAAGTTTTAAGTCACATCTGGACTCCATCACATTTCTACCCTTATTCTGGTAAGCAAGTGTGTTTGAGGATCTGCACGACTCACGGCCCCGCCCCTCGTCTCTGTCTCTCTGCACAATGTCCCCTTCCCAGTGAGGCCTGTGTCATAAACGGCCAGTCCCCAGTCATCCCAACGCTCCCCACGCCCCACCTCTGTCTTTCTCTTTTCTAGCACTTGGCACTGTCTGAGCTACCATGTATTTTATTCTCCAAATTCATCGCTGGTCCTCTCCCCAAAATGTCAGCTCCCTGAGGGCAGAGATTTGGGTCTGTTTTGCCCATTGCTGACTCCCCAGTGCCCAGAACAGCACCTGGCGCAGAGCACTCGTGACCGAATGACCTGGGCCCAAGGAAGGACAGACTTGCCTGGGGTCACTCAGAGAGTGGGCAGTGCCCCACACCTGCTCCTGGTGCCCTGTGCGATCTCCCGAGGGGGTCCTCACCAATCACGACGTCCACAGGCAGCTGGGCCAGCAGGGACCCGATGGGAGTGAGGGCCTCTGAGCTGTCCAGGGCTCCCTGGTCCCGGAGATAGAGAATGGCAGTTTCCAGGCTGGCTGGTGGGGGAGGCTCAATGAAGGGGAAGGTTCGGGGATCCCCCACGCTCATGCTCTTCATCTGGAATGAGAAGCAAAGCCCCCGAGATCGGGGAACACAGGAGCCGTTGTGGAACACAGAGAGGGGCTTGGGCATCACAGACTCCTGAGAGTTCAGAACTCCCAAGGTCAAGGTCCCTTGTACAGAGGTAGGGGAGGGGGCCATTTGTCTTTCTGCCTAGCACATGTTTTCTAGACCCTAACCATGGAGAACACGGCCTTAGTTGGGTCCATCAGAATCTTTCCTTGCGACTTTACAAACTGGAGCTGGGAAAGGGAAGCCTCAGGCTCCGCCCTGGTGCGAGTGGCCAGGATGGAAGCCCAGAACGACCACAGCTACATCCCCCATCGCCTGGAAATTAGCCCACCTACAGCAGATACAATCCTTGGACTATTTCTAAGCTAGACATGCCCTCCCATGGATACACAAAATGATGAGATCCCCTTCTCTGCCTGTAATAAATTGAGTCGTGTCTCTCTTGTTTGCAACCAGAAGAATCTCAAGTAATTCAGAGGCCCAGGCAGGCAGCAGGGGCTGGGGAGGATGAAGTGCCAACACACCATCTCTGGGCCTGGCATGGTGTATGCAAGCAACAGCGCCTCTCTGCGGACTGGCAGGAGAGGTGGTGTGGTGGCCCGTGTGACTGCGAGAAGTGAGAAGGAAGCTCAGAGGGCCTGCTCGCCTGGCCTTGAGCCGAGGGTACTAGAAGCTCTGGCCGTCCAGCTGTTCCACCATCCTCCCTGCTAATCAATCCTCGACATCGTCTTGGAAATCACCTAGTACTCATTAAAAGACCTTTGGCCAAACGCAGTGGCTTCAAACTCTTGGCCTCAAGTGATTCTCCTGCCTCGGACTCCCAAAGTGCTGGGATAACAGATGTGAGCCACTGTCCTGGCCCAGTATTATTATTATTATTTTGAAAGCAGGATTTACTGAGAGGACAGAAAAGCTCCCACAGTGGGGGGGAATCTGAAGGGGTTGCCCCAATATTATTTTAAATGGCAGGCTATGTGTCACTAGTGGATCAAAGCCTCCATGTAGCAGGTCACAAGCATCATTTTTTTAAAAAGATGAAATCAAGCTGGGCATGGTAGCCTGTAATCCCTTCAGGAGGCTGAGGTAGAGGATTGTTTGAACCCCGGAATTCAAGACCAGCTTGGGTACCACAGCAAGACCCTGTCTCTACACAAAAATAAAAATGAATAATTAAAAATCAAAATAAAGATGAAATCAAACAGTACAGGAAATGGCGTGCACCACCTGTGTGAGCCTGTGGCAGACACCCCTTCCTTTTCCTCTGATGCCTGGGCCTGGGGACTATACTTCCCAGCCTCCCTCACGGCTGGGTGTGGCAACGTGACTGAGCTCTAGGAGAAAGTGAGTGGAAGGGGAGCGTGCTGCCTACAGGCCTGGTCCCCCAGCCCCCGGACACATCTCCGCACCCTTTCCCGTGCCTGTACCCTGGCTGGGCACAGATGTTAACCCCTGCCAATCGGAAAACCAACATTCTGCTGTTAGTGATCCCATGACTGCAACTATTTGTTGCAGCAGCCCAACCTGGGCTAAACTAATGAGACCTGAGTCAGGACATAAATGTTATTGAGACACCCAGTTTTACAAGCCCTTTCCTGTGGGGTTTCCTGTGACGGGTGAAGGCACTGATTGAGTCACAGGTCTTGCCCTTGACCTGTGGATTTGAGGAACAATCCTCCTCTTGACACAGCGTTGTTTGGGAGGGAGAAGTTCTTCTCAGCAGCCTGGCCCTGTGACCCTGAGCTGGTCCTGTCTAAACCCCGGCCGCCTGCCCATGCCTCACCTGCAGCACCAACGCATCCAAGGCCACCCTCCGGATTTCTGGGACAGGGTAGGGGGCGAAGGCATCGTAGTCCGACTCTGCGTAGAGACGGAAGCAGACTCCGGGCCCCGTTCGGCCCGCCCGGCCCTTGCGCTGCTCAGCACTGGCCTGGCTGATCCAGAACTCCTGCAGCCGCTGGAGCTTGGCCTGTGGGTCATAGCTCATCTCCTTCACCTTCCCTGGTGGGAGGCAACGGGGAAGGGAGTGTGTGGTGGCGTGTGCAGCGTCCACGGCCCACGTTCCACCTGCTCATCACTTGCGGCTGCCCTCACCCCCTCCTGCACTCTGCCAACGCCACCCAGGAGCTCACTCCGGCAGCCCCAACATCCTGTTCATCTATTCCTTCCTTTCCACTTTTCACGGGTTTTCCCAAGTCTCTGCTGCCTTCAGAGCTTCAGTCACCCAACACGTACTTATTAATCACTGACTGTGTGCCAGGCATTGCACTAGGCACCAGGGACACCGCCAGGAACAAAACAAAGGCCCTGCTCCCACAGGACTGCACGGGACACTGTATTTCATCCACTGTAAGACCAAGCTTTTTGCACATTTTCTTGTCTCTGGAAATGGAGGGTGGACCTTAAAAGTCAACAGCATGACAATGCTTATTTTTTAACTTTCTTACTGGTACATGGAATTATGGAAAGGGTGACCACCCATGGCACCCCAGAGTCAACACAGCAAGGCAGCGGCTCACATTTCTTGAGTGTTCACTCTGGGCCAGGCACCGTCTGAAGCCCCCAAGTGCACTAACTCATTTAATCGTCATAACCCAAGGGAGGTGCTGTGGCCACTGCCGTCTTACAGATGAGCAAACTGACACGTGGCGTGTAAGTGACATGACCCCGGTCACATGGCCAGCAGAGAACTGGCCAGACAAGCTCCAGTGTCTCCTACCCACGATGCTGTGACTTTCTAGAACATTCCAGTAAGGACGATAGAAACTGAACAGAGCAGCAGGTAAGCCCCACTCACACAGGATGTGACCGTGGAAGGCAAAGGGGGATACACTTACAGAGAGTGGACAGGGTGGGCCTCTCTGATGGAAGGCCATTTACACAAGCCCTGAAATGAGGTGAGGAGCCTGCCGTTGGAGAAAGACAGCCCTCAGCAGGGAGAACAGTTAAGTCCAATGGCCCTAGGGCAGAAGCAAGCTTGGAAAGGCTGAGAAAAACCAACATACTGCTACTGCTCCTTGGCCCCAAACACCACCTACAGGCCGAGCATCCCAATTCCGGAAATCCTAAATCTGAAATGCTCCCCAAACTGGAAACTTCTTGATCACTGACATGACACTCGCTGGAGCATTTCATATTCAGATTTGGGTATCACTCGCTAAGTATAACACAAATATTCCAACATCGGAAACCCTGAGACCTGAAACCCTCTGGCACAAGCATTCTGGATTCAGGAGGCTCAGCGGGTACTTCTTGCTCCGGTCTGGAGCCCCCCCCCACTGCGCACCTCTCCAGATCCCACACTTCCTGTTGGGGGGAGTGGGGAGGCCGGCAGGGGCCCTTACCAGAATCCACCACAAAGCGGATGCCGTCGATGGTGACCGAGGTCTCGGCGATGTTGGTGGAGAGGATGCATTTCCGGACTCCGGGTGGTGCAACATCGAACACCTGGGAAGGGAGGAGGTGGTATCGGGGACTCCCTCAGTCCCGCTGACCATGTGTCCCACGGCCTCCCAAATGGCCATGGGCACCTCATACTCATGTCTGAAACAGCCACTGCAGATTCTCTGAGTCCCCCCCTTCCCCAGAATCCTCTCTCAAATATGGCTCACCACTCACCCATCACCTGGGCCATCCTGGGCACCCCCACTGGTCCACAGTCCCACCAGAACATCTCTTGAATTCCTTCCCTCCTCTCCACTCCCCTGGCCTCCCCCAGGTCCAGGCCTCACTGTCCCCTCTGATCTCCGGCCTCTAGTCTCACACGCTCCAATCCATCCCTCTCATGGCTGCCTGAGGTATCTGCTAAAGCATAAGCCGACGCCACTCCTCACCTTGCTCAGAGCCCTCCCATGGCTTCCAGGCACCATCCTGAGAAGGCCCTGGGGTCCAGTCCATCTCCCTCCTCCCCAGCCCATCTCTCCTAACTCCCCTTCATAGCCTGGGCCCAGTCACGCTACATGCTGCTTCCGAGCTGCCCTATCTTGCTCTCACTGCAGGCCCTTGGCACAGCCCTTCACTTGGCTCTAACAGATAGTCAAGCATAGTGGCTAAGAGCAGGTGTCAGCTGGGCACGAGGCTCACACCTGTAATCCCAGCATTTTGGGAGATGGAGGCGAGAGAACTGCCTGAGCTCAGGGGTTCGAGACCAGCCTGAGTAACATGGTGAGACCTCGTCTCTGCAGTCAATCATAAAATTAGCTGGGCATGGTGATGCATGCCTGTAGTTCTAGCTACTTGGAAGGCTGAGGCAAAAGGATGGCCTGAGCCCAGCAGGTCGAGGCTGCAGTGGCCATGAACATGCCACCGCACTCCAATCTGGGTGACAGAGTGAGACTCTGACTCAAAAATTTTTTAAAAAAGAGCAGGGGTCAGCCGGGCTCAGTGGCTCAGCCTGTAATCCCGCACCTTTGGGAGGCTGAGGTGAGTGGATTGCCTGAG